GCCTTCAAAGTACTCGCTGTTACACTTAACACATTTGTCAAATCTGGGATTTCATTCTTGGAAACATTTTTCACTTATGTGTTTGGATGTCTGACAGCACCTCCCTCATTTTTTTTCTTCACCTCTTCTACGTCATCAAACCACTGCCCTTTCATGTCTCTCTTCATTCGCAGAAACAAAAAGAAGTCGCACAAAGTGAGGTCAGGTGAGTCAGGTGCATGGGGAAAGAGAAGCATACTGTTTTCTTTTGCCAAAAACTGGCCCACTGAGATGGCATTATCGTGGTGGCAAAACGAGTCCCCATCTGCCACAAATCAAGCCTTTTTTGTTGCCCACTGTTACACAGTCTTTTCAGAACCTCTAAATAGAAAGCTTGATTAACAGTCTGATCTGGTGGAACGAACCCCTTACAAGTCGACATTTTCGTCCATTAGGGAAGTTGACAGACACCCAGAACCAGGTAATCAATGGACATTTCACCTTTTTTAAAACAAGAGAACCACGTGTACGCTTGTTTTTCCCATAGTGCTGTCCATGTAAGCTGTGTTCAACACCACACAGTTTCTGTAGCATTTTTTCCCAAGCAAGAAACAAAATTTAACAGCTGCACATTGTTCTCAAATCAGCCATCACAGAAAATGAGGCTCAAATGAAACTGCTTTTACAAAAAAATTCACTGTGACCAAAGAGAACCTTCCAAGGCAATGCCACTGGCTGTACTAACTCAGAGTGAGCTGCTCCATGCTCGGCTAGCAGGAATAAAGTGTATTATAAAAATTCTGCTCTGTTCAGTGCAATTCTGTTTTTTGGGAGGGTACTCCCTCGTATTTACAGGTTTCTTTTTACAGCCCTAAACAGTATTACCCACTGGTAGCCCCCTAATCCCTCTGCTTGAAGGTTCTAGTTGATCACAATCCTGTGTACAACAGAAGGCAGCCCTGCCCGATCCTGGGCCACTCTCAGTCACTGCTATCTTCTTTATCTTCCTCACTGACTCCCTACTAGAGGTTGACTGAGGAAGAGTGGCCTTCTCAAAATACAATCAACCATAATGATGTGTGGATGGAGTAAAGCCTTCGGGACCTTTATTTGCTGATGGCATACAACTCAAAATGAGGAGAAAAAGCTGCAAACAACAATTAATGACTGGAATTTGGAATTTATGAAGTGTGAGTGCAAGAAAACTGGAAGTTGTCAAAAATAAAATGCGTAAAAATTGTTATTCTACTGTTACTGGCCATTTTGAAAAACAAAAACAAAAAACATAAAGTTTACTATGCTGGGAATGATGGATTCAAGAGGAATGGTGTTGTGTTCATTGTCAAAAAGCTAGATCTTGAAATGTACACTGCTGTCTGAGATAGGATAATGTCTACTGGAAAACAAGGAAGTCCAAGCAATCCAACTACTAGTGGAGTTTATGGGTCAACAGCAAAAGCAGGTGATGCAGAAATTGAACAACTTTACTGTCTTCAGCCTGTAATTGATCAAACATGCAGTCAAGATGCATCAATAATTACTGACAAATGGAATGCAAAAGTTGGAAAAAGAGGAAGAAACAGTAGTTGGAAAATATAACCTTGACAGAAATGAACCAGAGATTGCACAACAGAATTTTGCATGACCAATGATGACTTCATCGCATATACATCTTTCATCAACACAAATGGTAATTACGCACATGGCTTCTCCAGATGAAATACACCGAAATGAAATAAATTGACTACATCTGTGGAAGAGACAATGGAGAGAAGCACATATCAGGAGCTAAAATGAGGCCAGGGGCCGACTGTAGAATAGTTCAGCAATTACTCGTATGTAAGATCAGATTGAAGCTGAAGAAAATTAAAACAAGTCCACTAGAGCCAAAATATGACCATAAGTCTATCCCACCTGAATTTCCAGATCATCTGAAGAACATTCAATGCACTGAACACTGGTGACCGAAGACCGTATGAGCTGTGGGAGGGCATCAAGAAATTTCATACTGCACGAGGACAGCAAAAGGTTACGCAAAGGACAGGAAAGAAAGTAAAAAAGTGGATGTCAGAAGGGACTCTACAACTTGCTCTTAACCATAAAGTAGCTAAGGCCAATGGAAGAAATGATGACGTCAAACAGCTGCACAGCAAACTTCAAAGGGCAGCTCGAGAAGACAAAGTAAATATTATAATGAAATCTGCACAGCCCTAGCGTGGGAAAACCACAAAGAAAGAACACACTCAGCATATCTTAAAGTGAAACGATTCAGGGTAAAATTCCAGCCTTGAGTTGCAATCTTGGAAGATTTTATGGGTAAAATACTGAATGATGCGAAGCATTAAAAGAAGATGGCAAGAATACATAGTCATTGTACCACAAAGGACTACCTGACGAAGTAGTAAATGAGCAAGAACCAATGGTACTGAAGGAAGAAGTTCAAACTGCACTGAAAGCATTAGCCAACAACCAGGTTCCAGATATTGATGAAATACCAATGGAAATGTTTTAAAAAGCTGTTGAAGCGCTGGAAGCACTCACTTGTCTATGCCAGGAAATTTGGAAGACAGCTACTTGGTCAACTGATTGGAAGAGATCCCTATTTGTGCCCATTCCAAAGAAAGGTGACTCATAGGAATGCTCAAATTACAGATCAATAGCAATGACATCACATGCAAGTAAAATTCTGCTGAAGATCATCCAGCAATGGTTGCAGCAGTACACTGACAGGGAGTTGCCAGAGGTCCAGGCTGGATTCAGAAGAGGACGTGGGCATCATTGCTGAAGTCAGATGGATCTTGGCTGAAAGCAGAGAATACCAGAAAGATGTTCGCTTGTGTTTTATTGACTATGCCAAGGCATTAGACTGTGTGCATCATAACAAACTATGGGTAGCCTTGAGAAATGTGGGAATTCCCAAACATTTCATTGTGCCCCTCTGGACTCGTACATGGATGAAGAGGCAGTGGTGTGAATTGAAAAAGGGAAGACTACCTGGTTTAAGATCAGGAAAGGCATGTGACAAGGGTGGAGCCTCTCACCATACGTATTCAAACTGCATGCTGAGCAAATCATCAGAGAAGCTGGCTTAGATGAAGAACTTGGCATCAGGATTCGAAGAAGACTTATTAACAATCTGTGGTTTGCAGATGACACAATCTCGCTTGCTAAAAGGGAGGACTGAGGCACTTGCTGATGAGGATCAAGGATTGCAGTCTCAGTATGGATGACAACTCCATGTCAAGAAGACCCAAATCCTCACCACTGGACCAGTAGGTCACATGATTCACATGATGATAAATGGAGAAACAATTGAAGTTGTCAGGGGTTTCGTCTTGCTCGGGTCCAAAATCAATGCTCACGGAAGCAGCAGTTCAAGAGATCAAAGACACGTTGCACTGGGTAAATGCACTGCACAGGACCGCTCTCTCTCCTTTTTAATAAGTTTTATGGGCACATAATTTACATATCACACAATGCAATAGTTCACTCATATCAAGGAGAGTTGGGCAATCGTCACCATAACAGTTTTAGAACATCCGCCCCACCCCGCATGGTTACATCATCTTTAAAATGTGTTGTGGGATCAGTCAGTTCCAGTGCTCCCTCCCTGCTCCTGCCTTCAGTGTTTGTTCCTGAAACCCCCTTTCCCCTCCCTACCCCTCACCCCCACCCCTACATCCCCTATATCAACACTTGTATCCGGTGTGATCCTTATGTTTCCAGTCCTGTGCCTCACAAGTTGGGAAACCCAACAGAAGCAATAAAACACAACATAGAAATAAGGTGGTAATGATATAATAATAATAATAAAAAGACCAAAATACAAATAATGAGTAAGATAGATAAGATCCACCATTAACATTAAAAAAGCGAGGGAAGAAATTTCTATCATGGAACAACTAAGAGGTACTTGCACCCAGAACCAATTCAGGTTAGGTCTATAGGGAGTCATCTGGCCAATACTGAGTTCGAATCAGCACATTCAAGATGACAGTGGTCTCTGCCTGACAGTAAGGCTGCTCATGACTCTTGGCTGTGGCTAGACCTACCAGCTCAGTCTGACTAGATACTCTGCAGATGGGTTTTGGGCTCTCACTGTCCTCCATAGCCTTCTACAAATCACAGGACCTCTTTAGAGTATTGCAAAGCCAGGAAGTTACTTTGAGGACCATGGTGTGCCTGACCCAGGCCATGGTGCTTTCAATTGCCTCACACGCATGTGAAAGTTGGACACTGAATGAGGAAAGCCAAAGAAGAATCGATGCAATGAAAATGGTGCTGCTGAAGAATACTGAAAGTACCAGGGACTGCTAAAGGGACAAACCAATCTATCTTGGAAGAAGTAAAGCCAAAGTTCTCCTTAGAGGCAAGGATGGCAAGACTTCATCTTACATACTTTGGACATATTGTGAGGAGAGACCAGTCCCTGGAGAAGGACAGCCTGTTTGATAAAGGAGAGGGACAGTGAAAGAGGGAAAGGCCCCCAAGGAGATGGATTAACACAATCGTGCAACAATGGCTCAGACATAAGAATTGTGAGGCTGGCACAGAACTGGGCAGTGTTTTCTTCTGTTATGCATATGGGTCAGAACGGATTCTGGGGCACCAACACCAACTCCCTAGAGAAGGGCATCCTGCTTGGTACAGTAGGCCAGCACAGAGAACCTCAGTGAGATGAATTTACACAGTAGTGCCACAACGGGCCCAAACATAGCAACGATGGTGATGATGGTGCAGGGCCACACAAGGTTTTGTTCTGTTGGACATAAGGTTGCTGAGTTACGATGAACTGGATGGCACCTAGTAAAAAACGAGACACAAGGTGTGACTAAAATAAGGGTGTGATTCAAGTGATTTCAGTAAGGATATGACCAGGATGGATAAGGGGTTTGGGTAAGGGTGGAACCACAGTAAAAGTGTGATTTGGTTCATACACTCTTGTAAGGCTGCGCCTCAAGATAAAACCCACCCTAATCCTGCCTCACGAGTCCTGGTGCCGAGGTGGTTACTAGTAGGGCAGCGAACTGCAAGGGCAGCAGTTTGAAACTGCCAGCCATGGGGAAAAGGTAAGGTCTTCTACTCCTGTAAACAGTGTACAGTCTTGGAAACCCACAGGAGCAATTCTATCCTGTCCTAAAGGGTTGCTTTCACTTGGAATGGACTCAATGGCAGTGAGCTGTTTTTTTGGTTTAATCCTGCCTCATTAGCATATGAGGGTATGGCTTAGAACATATAAAAAAGGATAATTACGTCGGATTGCAAAATGGAGGGCATTTGCACAGTACTGCCTAGCTTAACTCCTCATGTTCTCCAATAGACCTTTAACCACTTAAGGTAGCACCTACTACAGAATGAGAGTCCAGTACCACGGAGTCAATTCTGGTTCAAAGCAACCCTGTACAGGGCTTCTGAGGCTGTAAATCTCGAGAGAGCAGCCAGGTTTACCTTTCTTGTGCAGAGTAACAGGTGGCTTTGAACTGCTAACCTTGTGGTTGCAGCACAAGAGGGTTAGAAATGAGGCAAACTAGACTCTATATATTGCCAGCTTTTAGGTACTCAATCTTTAAGTGAGCAAACTGTGCAGATCAATGTTCCCTAAAGTGTGGTATGCATTTCCAAATGGTATGTAAATGAACATTAATCATTTTTGATAGATATATTTCCATTGTGGTAATACAAAAAACTTCCCTGGAATATTACCCTTGTGATATTAAGGATATTTTTGTGTACGCACAGGCAGGTTTATTTAGATAAAAATACAAAAGCAATAAAAGAGTTTAAGTGGTATGAGCAAATTGCAAAATTGTGAGGATATATCCAAATGACTACAGTTCTGAAAAAAGCAGACTAGTAGGGTCAGACAGTGACTGCTAATGGGTAGGGGCTCTTTTTTCGCAGGGGTGGATGGGGTGGGTGTGTAGTGATAAAAAGGTTCTAGAACTAGACAGTGGCGATGGATCCATGTTCTGTGAATATACTACTGTCATTAGGTGCCACTGAGTCAGTTCCAATCACAGTGACCGTATGGTATGTGCAGCACAATGGAACGCTGCCTGGTCCTGTGCCTACACTGCAGCCGCGAAGCGCTAGTCCATCTTGATGAGGGCCTTCCTCTTCTTGCGGACCCTCTCGTTTACCAAGTAGGATGTCTTTCTCCAGGGGCTGGTTCCTCCTGGCAACGTGCCCAAAGTACATGAGATGAAGTCAAGCCATCCTCACTTCTAAGGAGCACTCTCTGGCTGTACTTCTTCCAAGACAGATTTATTTATTCTTCTGGCAGTCTATGGTATATGCAATGTTCTTCCATAACACTGTAATTCAAAGGCACCGATTCCTCAATCTTCCTTACTGGAATGCACATGAGGCTTGGGTCAAGGGCATCTTATAACATGGCTTGGGTGAGAAGAATCTTTGTCCCCAAAGTGAAATCTTTGCTTTTGAATGCTTTAAAGAGGACTTTTAAGCAGATGAGCCCAAAGGAACAGATTCTTTCTTTGATTTCTGGACTGCTGCTAGCATGGCACTGCTTGTGTATCCAAGTAAATGAAATCGTCGACAACTTCAGTAGGTTTTACACACAGTATGTGAGTTAATACAGTGGTTATAAAAAAAAAAGTGGAGTAGAAAATCTGAGACGCTTTCTTTTACGGTTACGAAGTATAAGTAACTCACTCAGAGAAGCTGGTTTGTTTTAAACTGTTAAATATATGTACTAGGGGACTTGCAACATTTGTGGGAAAATCACATTATTTCTTAACTCCATTTCCCCACAAACTTTTTGAAACCCTCCTGTGTGTATACAAATTTGTATAAGTATGCACACATATATTTAGACACATCTGTTGTACACAGGGTTGCTATGAATCAATACCACAAGATGGCACCTAGCAACACAGATGTCTATGTATATATATGCATACACACACACACACACAAACACACACACACACACACACACTTTCCAGCTAGACTTGAAACTTCCTGTTTATACTTTACTATTCATATTTTCTATTCCCCAAATTCCTGGAATAATACCTACGTACTCAACAAATATTTGCTAAACTAAATAGGAATATCAGAGAAAATTTGATATGTGGAAAGTGTTTAAATCATTTTTACTTCTAACTTGCTAGGAAATATGGGAATGACTAAATATAAAAAATAAATAAAAATCAAACAAGATACAGTTTCAGTTCTTGAGGCCTTTGGTATTTTAGTAGTTGAGTAACAGTCCATTTCCACATGGGATCAGGTGAATGAATAGCTAAAAATGGCTTCTGGGAGGGTGTCTGCTCTCTTTGCTGAAATGTTCTATTAGAACCATTGGAAAGCTGGACGACTTCACCACTGGGTTAGCCACAGGGGTAATCTGGTTAGAAACTGAATATGGAAATAGAAATGGAACATGACAGCTTTGTAGGTTAAGTGATTTTGAAATTGAAGCTTAAAAAGACAAAGATCTCCCCAGGGCACAAAACCCAATATAATTCAAGTGCGGAGCAACAAAGAACTTGAGAATCCCAATTTCCCCATATTTGTTACTTACTTTCTTTTTCATAATTTTATTGGGGGCTCATACAACTCTTATCACAATTCATACATACATCAATTGTGTCAAGCACATTTGTACATTCGTTGCCATCATCATTCTCAAAACATTTGCTATTTAAGCCCGACATCAACTCCTCATTTTTACCCCCTCCCTCTCTGCTCCCCCCTCCCTCATGAACCCTTGATAATTTATAAATTATTATTATTTTGTCATGTCTTACACTGTCCGACATCTCCCTTCACCCACTTTTCTGTTGTCCATCCTCCAGGGAGGAGGTTATATATAGATCCCTGTAATCGGTTCCCCTTTCCACCCCACCCTCCCGCTACCCTCCTGGTATCGCCACTCTCAGCACTGGTCCTGAAGGATCCTCTGTTTGCTACCTATTTTCAAAGAGGTAGAGGAACTCTTAACCTGACCTACAAAGTCTAGTCTGTCTACCTAAAATCTTGCTGTAAATGCACAGACAGGTCACTCTCTTAGAAGTTCAAGTGATCCAAACTGCCATAGGATTTGTATTCATCATTTCCATGCCCCGCCCACCCTTTTAATAAAAGGATTTCTTTTTTTTTTTGGGGGGGGGGAGGGCAGCGTTTCAAGAGGCTGGTACTAGTGTAAATTTGAGAACCAGCAGGTCGATCCCAAATCTCCAGATGTTTCTTATGACCATTGTGGCTTCTTCATCACTGTGCCCTGAGCACCTGGCCGCATCTCATGTACATTTCCTCCATGAATGAGTATGCGAATCCAAGTTATCTAAGGACCTGGACTCACCCCACTGACCATTGTCCTTACCTCAGTTTCCTGCAGACGGTGGCCAATGAGGCTCAGGGACTCCCCCAACAGCTGGAGGTGAGCAGCAACATCAATGGGCTCTGTTTCTGGGGCTTTGGCTGGTGAGGTTGGGAAAAGCATAGTGCTGGGTGGGGACTTCTTTTGGGGTGACAGCACTCCTGTTGAAGAAGCTGAGAAGAGAGGGGTGAAACAGATCAAATTCACCTGCGGTCGCGAACACCACAGACATGTTCTGGCTAAAGTTTCTTTTTTTTCAGAGACCGACACCAGACTTTGGCAAATGTATGGCTTGTGTGCCAAATCCAGCCTGTGACCTGGTTTTGTATGGTCTGTAAGCGAAGAATGGTTTTACTCTCTTAGGGGTTGTAAAGCAAAATCACCCCCAGAGAAAACAACAGAGAAGAATGCATGACAGAAACTTGTGCATGACCTCCAAAGCCTACAATATTTTGTACCTGGCCCTTGACAGTTTGGTCATCTCTGACCTCCATTTCCCAAGTGTGACCATCATTTGGCACCCTATGGCATGCAGGAATATTAGTGGGTACCGAGATCTGCTTCTCACGTAAGCTACAGCACTCCAGGGCATTGGGGCGGAGGGGACTCTGGCTCTACCTTTCACTTTCACGGCGCCTTCGGAGCCGGATGCTTTTCTCTTCACCGTGGTAGCTTCTGCTTTGTTCTGCTTGTGTTGCAAGTATTGAGCTTTCTGCTTCCAAACCTGCAGTTGGGTTAGGACCAAATAAATCAAAGGGGCAAAGGAGTAAGAGGGAAGGCAGGCATGGGAGTGTGGGAAACTGAGGACCTAGTCTCTACGCTGGCTACCACAGGGCTTAAAAGAATGGCTCTAGTTAGAGAGAGATCGCAACAGTTCTGAGATAGAGATAACATCAAATATACATTTTCCAGACAGAAGGATATCCTCACAGTATTCCTCACTTCCCCCGCCTAAAGTGCTACTTTAAAGATGCCTTTTACAAGTGCCTGGCTGCTAGCTATGCAGCTCGAGACGACCTATCTCTGAGAGCAAACAAGTTTTATTGTCTTCTCTGCTCAAAGGGTGGATGACTCCCTTCTGCTGCCTGCTTCTGATGCTGGTTGTGGGTTGTTCCCCCAATGAGCTTAGGGACATCCAAGAGTTAAGCCAACGCCCACCTTGTTACATATGTGACTGATGGGGGCTTGCTAGCCCCAAGACTATATAAACCAGTTGAAAAATACATTTGGTCTCTTGATCCTGACATCGGGAAAGGTGAGCCCCCGTCCTCCGTCCCCACTCTTTCTGTCTCTTTATTTTCCCTAATTGTACCACTGCTCCTTGGGCCCAATTGGTTGTGGGGCTAGCCCCCACATGGAAGACCAAAATGAACAGCACAGGAGAGCAGGCAGGGCGTTACAACTTTTTAAGCTGAAGGTTACTGAAGAGGCTTCAGAGATGATGCTCACTCTAACTGAATTACACACACCTGTCAATGCCGTGAGACAACGGTGGCATTGATTTTGACATCACTCTAGGCTGAGCCTCAAGGGCACAATGATTAAGCACCCAGCGGCAAATCAAAAGGCTGGCGATCAGACCCAGCCAGCAGCTCCGTGGAAGAATGACCTGGCTGTCTGTCCTGGGAGGAGTACAGCCTAGAGCAGGGCTCCTCAAACTTTTTAAACAGGGGGCCAGTTCACTGTCCCTCAGACGCGTTGGAGGGCCGGACTATAGTTAAAAAAAACAAACAACTATGAACAAATTCCTATGCGCACTGCACATATCTTATTTTGAAGTAAAAACAAAATGGGGCAAAAACACCTAGCAGGCGGGATAAATGTCTGCTGCGGGCCGCATGTGGCCCGTGGGCCGCAGTGTGAGGACCCCTGGCCTAGAGAACCATCTGGAGCAGCTGTACTCTTGTCACACGAGGTCGGAAGGAGATGACACCATGTGACAGAAGAACAAGGTTGAAATGCAAAACCACGGAGTAAACATCTGATTTCAGTACAACGTCCACATGGTTTAAATATGTCCTCTCGCCTGGTGCTTGGCAGAGTGACAATGACATGGAAACCAGAAACTAAGGGTTAATTACTCAGTGTTTCACCAATTG